TGATGCAAGCTTACACCCATGCAATATCAATAAATTGCTTCTGCCCCCAAGTTTGGTGTCTTTATAATTGCTAATAAACAGCTTCTCATGGTTGCTACCTTTCGAAATCAACAGCTTAGATATTTTTGTGTTTTCGTTGGCTTTCAACTGTTCTTCAATGATGTCCCCGAGCTCATAATAAATGTCCTGGAACTTGATGTGCCCCATCCCAAGTGGCAACATATAAGGATGCTCGACTAAGAGGTATAGCATATATTGTGACAGCCAGTTGCCTTTTTCAAGTTCTTTGTCCAGATCATTATAGCCTCCAAAATCTTGGTCGTACAAGATTTCTGTAGCAAGGTGCCAAACAAGAATGCTCTGGTCAAACTCCAAATCGACAATACTCCATTTCAGATCAGGACACTGTCCGTCGTCAAGAGACTGTTTGTCTTCAAGTGCTCGGCATCCCCTACGGCCGTACAAAGCTTTAAGATCTGTGTCATAGCTATGCTTTCCCAACCAATTTTTAACAGTTACGTTCATCGCTGTGAAGACTCTCTCTCTTAAGATTTCGTCCACTGATATGGGGCTAGTCTTGCATAGTTGAATCTCTAGAGCTTTATCAACGCGTAACATTTTCAGGATTTTACGGCAGGGCAGAGGTTTTTTTTTTAATCTCATGGAAAAGTTTAGCAAGCTATACTGTTTCATCGAATATGACCACCTGCGTTTTGTTTTGATTGATGACTCGCAAGATGGTAAAATACACTTGATGGCTCGTGAGATGATGGTTTTCTCATGCTTAATTAACCAATGAGTTGTTTGGTCAGAGACAAGTAGTTGCTTGAATGCCCATAACTCTACAAGAAGGGCGACCGACAACAATATCAGAGTTATGGTAAAGTCGATTTTGGAGTGGCGGCGGTGGTGCTGTTCATGAAATTTCTCTCTGACCAGTTTGACCTCACTCAAAGATACCATCATCAATACAAGAAAGGTTAGAATGATTCCAACAATTCTTAGGGAGATCCCCAAATTAGAGTAGATAACCTTAGCCTTTGTGAACCGCAAATCGTATATAATCCCGAGTTCAATCTCAATTATCTTGAATGCCTTTTCGGGTGATATCTTGTCAAAGATTGACCGACTTGTATGCCCATCTCGGATGCCAATTATGAGATCTGCGAAGAGACGCTTGACCATGTCAAGGAATCCAAAGGCCGTAAGGAGTTCATTTTCAACATTAGGAATAGACTGATCAACCTCAAGCACCTGATGTGTTGTGACATGGTACCCCTCTAGCTCTTTAAGTTTGCATTCCTTCATTATTTTGGATTCATTGGTAGTGATATCCTGAATGGAGTCTCTAAAATTGTTATCGGTTGACAAGTAGAGGACACAAACTCTTTCACAGTACTTGAATAGCCCCACAACAAACATGAGAATGAAGAGTATGGAAAGAAGAGAGCCTGTCCAGGCCATGAGAAAGATGTACACTGTGGTCATAGATTGAATAACTACTTGAAACGAGTGCCTTCTCCACAATTCATTGTCTTCCAAGGAGTAAGCAGTAATGGCATCTGTACCACCCAAGTGAACTAGCATTAAGGGCGCCCAGAATCCTGTTATCTCCACATTTGGATCAATAAAACCATCCACGTTGACTTTTCCAAGATGGTTGGACAGTATGCCAGCTGCCATTGTTGCCACAGAGTCGGCGAGTAAGTAAGCCGACCAAACAACAACTCTGACCTGAATTCCTGCCGTATGCTTTCGACGATTGCCCAGAATGACGAGAAGGACTTGGGTAGTGAGGCTGATTAAAACCATTCCTCGCACCTCCCATTCGTTCCAAAATTTCTTCCATCTTGGAGGAAAGAACTGCGTCATCACTCTCTTTCTTATTATAATTGCACTGTCAAATACTGATCCAACAAAAATAAAAATAAAAATAAAATAATAATTCATATTGATAAATGGCAGAAAGAATATACATTTTCAACAAAACACCACCCCATCATCAACACGACACTTAATTGATAAATGGCAAATTGTACCAATCATCACTCTAATTTGCATCTTACGTTAATTTGGTCCATTTAACTCTAATTGTATAAACTAATCTTTCACATTGTGTCAATATGGACAAATTCATAACAATTGTTAAGAAATTGAACATTAATCAAGGCAAAACGATCAATTCAAAAGGGAATGTCTTATTTCAAATTGGAAAGTAACCCTCAATCATTTATGGAGAGTGAATTCACTATTTTGCTCATTGATTTTAATTCAAAATTTTAAAAAATACATTATTAACTGAACTAAATTGATACGATGTGAAAAAATTTAAGGATAAAATTGATGCAAGTAAAACTACAAGAGTCAAATTGATAGAAGAAGTAAACTACAAAGACTCTAGTACAATATGCCTTTGTATAAATGTCAATACCACATCATTCTAGTTTCACTTTCTGCATGCTCGATTCAATCAAAGTTTCGATTCTTGTGATGCAGATAAACCAATGTTGTTAGGGTTTTGATTGGTGATCCCAATCCACCGATCAATTTTGTTAGGGTTTTGATTGGCTATCTCAATTGACCTACTCCGGAAATCGCTACTTGCTTTCACATCCAAGTTGTTGTCAGCGGTTGCGATCCCTCATTATTTCCCTTATAGAGAACTAAGAAGGCCTAGGGTTAGGGTTCTAACAACGGTGGTAAAGGTTTCCACCATTCTTCCTATCTCTCTAAGTTTTTTATTTTCTTAGTTGCATTGCAGCTTTGATATAAATTACTTTTCAGCTTTTCCCTTAAATCTTACTTCGTGAATATTTTACCTTTTAATTTTCCCTAATACCTTAGTTGTATGATATGCTAACTTTTAAAAATATTGGAATGTGCATACTCTTGCATGATAGTCTTGCATAGAAACTTTTACATAAGAAAATATACATATATATGTTGCATACTTACAAAAGATGAGTTATCAAACCATACTTCGAATCAAGGCCTGCTTTGGGCACAAGTAGGAGAAGCTGTCGCTTTGGCTCCCAAAAAATTGATTAAACAAAAAGCCCCAAAATTTTGTTAATTGTTATATTAGCCTAAAAAAAATCTCACTAGAATTTAAAGGGCCTAAACAAAATTCAGTTATGATTTAAAACTAATAGATAGTTGATATGATAAATTATTTAAAAATAATAGTTTTTTTTTTATTAGAAGAAACCAAAAAATTTATTGATGTGGTGAATTGTTTAAAATTATTGAATGGTTATTTTCCAAATGTATGACTTTTTATTCAATATTTCACAGATTAGAAAATGTATAGGTGGAAGGCAATAAGGTGCTATGTAAGGCTTTGGGAGTTTCTTGCTCTATTTGAGTTGGAATCTCTCCAACTCGTTTTGGGGGTTCGGAGATGCACATGATTGGTCTGATTTTGGGTGTCAACATAATTGGGATGCTTAGTTTTAACAATGATGCAACTTTTTCCCTGTTAGAATAGTAGAGAGAGAGAGAGAGAGAAAGTAAATATAGCGATCCCGGGTTTACCCTTGTTATACCATGATCCGGACATGTGTCCGTGGATGTTAGTAGTTGTTTATTATTTTGTTTACATCCTTTTTACTTCGTAATTGAGTTATAGGATGTGTTGGGCGGGTTTGTTACAGGTTGGTTGAGTTTAGAAACCAAAACTAGCTGCCCAGATTTTTGACCTGTACGCTCGAGCGGGGGTTTTGGCGCTCGAGCGGATATTACACCCATTCAGTATTTTCCTGTGCAGCGTTGTACGCTCGAGCGTGGGATTGGCCGCTCGAGCGGGGTTGTCTGAGTACCGCTCGAGCGTAGAGTTGGAAGCTCGAGCGGAGGCCTGGTTCTGCAAAAGTGCTGGGCGAGTGCATTCTGCGCTCGAGCGGGAGGTTGGCCGCTCGAGCGGAAGTCTGTGAGTGGCCGCTCGAGCGGGGTGTTTTACGCTCGAG